CAACCGTAGAAAAAGTTAGCACGCGTCAAAGTAATACGTTCCAAAATATATCTATGATTTTTCGTATTTTTGTTACAGTTTTCGAGGTCATTACGGGATGTCAAACGAAGTCGAAATATTGCATTTTTAATATGATATCGAAGTGCTCAAAAATTCGTTTCCCCCATCTCTAACGGCGTAAGAAATGACTAACTGTAAAAAAAGTTACATTTCGTCGAAGTACAAACCTCGAAAATTGATTCATAAATAAGGAAAATCGTTCATATATTTTGAAATTGCCTACTTCGACGAGTGGTGACTTTTATTACGGTTGCCCGTTTCGCACGCCGTTAGAGATAGGAGAAACTAGGTCGTGAACACTTCGATATCATATTAAAAATGCAATATTTCGACTTCGTTTGACATTCCGTAATGACCTCGAAAATTGTAACAAAAATAAGAAAAATCATAAATATATTTTGGAACGTCTTACTTTGACGAGTGCTAACTTTTGCTACGGTTGGCCGTTTCGCACGCCGTTAGAGATGGGAGAAATTAGGTCGTGAGCACTTCGATATGATATTAAAAATACAATATTCTGACTTCGTTTGATATGCCGTAATGACCTCGAAAATTGAGACAAAATTAAGAAAAATCATTTTTAATATTATTTTGAAACGTCTTACATCGACGAGTGTTAAAATTTGCTACGGTTGGCCGTTTCACACGCCGTTAGAGATGAAGGAAACTAGGTCGTGAGCATTTCGATATAATATTGAAAATTTAATATTTCGACTTTATTTAGCATCCCCATAATAATTTCAAAAATTGAGATACAAACAAAAAAAAATTATTTACGTGATAAAGGGATGGGGTGTGGGTGGGTTAGGAGTGGGTAAAAGCAAAATGGTATGGGCGGCTGCAGGGAGAAAGTCAAAAAAAAAATTCAATTAACCGCTGACGTGGCACCGCCACGTCAGCGGTGGGCATTTGTTCTCCTGCCCACCGTGGGCAGGAGAACAGGCCTGTTTATTTTTAATAAAATAAACATTTTCCTAATTTGATATTTACATGTTATTGTCATTCTAAACAGCGGAATAGACATTTTAAGAAATGTCCCAAAATAGTTATGTTCGTGGGAAAAGGTTCCAAGTACCCAGTATCTTTTATAGAATTTCTATAGATGTTGTCGTGGCAACACCTGATTCGTCAATTTTTTTTTGTCCCATTCTCCAATGAATCTTTGTCA